TTATTTCCTCCCAACATCTTCTCACTAACTCCCCTCCCTTACCCTCCCTCAATCTCCTTTCATACCTCCACGCTCTTATCCCTGCTCTTTCCCTCAATTTCTCCCTTTGCATCTCCTCCCTCACCATATACCCCGGCGTCCTACTCTCCACTCCTAATATCCATCTCAAATATCTTTCCCCTACTTTCTCCACTTCCTCTCTCTCCTTCCATCCCCAGATCTCCACCCCATATCCCATCACCGTCCACACTAACTTATCAAAAAGCCATATCCTTCTTCCCCAGTCCCTTCCAAATCTTCTTTTCCCTATCCCCCACACCTGTCTCATAACCACCGCTGCTCTTCTCACCCTTTCTCTTATTTGCGCTTCCTGCCCCCCATTTCTCTGTATCATATATCCCAAGTATCTATATTCTTTTACCTCTCCTAGCTTTTTCCCTTTCCACCTCCAATCCTTTTTCCCCATCCTCCCTCCCCTCCTCCTAAACCTTAGGATTTTCGTCTTTTCCGTGTTCAGCACCAAATTTTTTCCATCCAGATAACTTTCCAACCTCCCTATCATGCTTCTCATTTCATCTTCACTCTCCGCCAATAACACCATATCGTCCGCGTACGACATTGTATATACCCTACCATCTCCTAACTTTACCCCACCCCATTTCACCTTGCTCATCTCCTCCTCTAAATCCGCCATCAATATATTGAATAACAAGGGACTTAGCGGGCACCCCTGCCTCACCCCTCTCGTCGTCCAAAAACATTCCCCTGTCCTCTCTCCTACTCTTACTCTGCTTTTAGTTTCTTCCATACTTTCCATACTTCTCTCTATAATCCCCTTTTCAATCCTTCTTTTTTCCATATCTCCTCTCAATACTTCCCTATCTACCATATCAAATGCCGCTTTCAGATCCACAAACAATGCTACCATTTTCCCTCCTTTCCTTTCCAGCTGCCTATTTATCAAATAATTCAGTACATATATATTTCTATCGTTCCCATTCCCTTCCTAAAACCCGCTTGATTCGGTGATAAACTTTCCTTTTCTCTCATTTCCTCCTTTAACCTTTCCGCCAATATCATCATATATACTTTATATGCTGTCGGCATTAACGTTACTCCCCTATAATCCTCTACCTTCACTCCCTCCCCTTTCTTAATTATCGGAATTACTTCTCCTTCTCTCCACACCTCCGGCCATCCTTCCCCTTTCCATACTCTCCTGCATACACCCCATAGCCACTCCTCCACCTCCACACCTCCATATTTCCACACCTCTCCTGGTATTCCGTCTTTTCCTACTGCCTTTTTCTCCTTCAGATTTCTTATCGCCCTTTTCACCTCCCCTCTACTCAACTCTTCTCCTCCTCCCTCCTCTGTTTCTTCCCTCTTCCTACCTCTTCCTTTCACCCTGTTTTCCACTCCTCCTAACATATCTTTGAAATATTCTTCCCATTCCTCCATTTCTATCTCCTCATTCACTCCCTTCCTTCTCTTTCTCTCTCTATTTATTATCTCCCATACATCCCCCTCTTTTTTTGCCTCCATCGCTCTTCTCTCCCACCTCTTATTCTCCTCTCTCTTCTTCTCCTCACACAATTCTTTGTAGTCCCTTTTCTTTTCTCTATATCTCTTCCCCTCCCCTCCCTCTCTCCTCCACCTCCTCATCTCCCTTCTTAACTCTCTTTTCACTTCCTTACATTCTTCATCCCACCACCCTCTTCTCTCCTCATTCCCCCTTTCTCTATCTTCCCTCCCCATTTCTCCTAATACCCCTCTTATCCTCTCCTCTCC